ACTCGCCGCGCAGCCGCGAGCTCCTGTCCCGGCTGCTGCGCGCCGACCGCTCCGTCTTCTGCGCCCGCCGCGACGTGAGCCGCCGCTGTCGCCTGCGCCCCGGCCACTACCTGGTGGTGCCCAGCGCCTCCCGCGTCGGCGACGAGGCCGACTTCACGCTGCGCATTTTTTCTGAGCGCAGCCACACGGCGGTGTGAGCCGGGACCCCCAAACCCTGCCCCGGACGCCCAGTCACACACCCTCCGGGACCCCAGCCCGGCCCCGCCCCGAAGCCCTGACACCCCCCACCTGAGGGCCAGAGGCCGGAGGCCGGAGTCCCAAGACCCTGCCCGATTCCTTGAGACCTCTTACGCCCCACAGCCCAGCCGTGGGGTGACCAGCACCCCATCTCCCGTCTCACTTTGCAGGGAGATCGATGACGTGATCAGCGCTGACCTGCAGACCCTCATGGTGCGGCGGGGCGGGGCGGGGCCCGCGGGGCGGGAGGGCTCGGGGGCCGGGGCTGAACCTCTCCTCCTTCCTAGGTCCCCTCCAAGCCCCTGGAGCTGGAGTTGGTGCGGCTGTTTCTGGAACTGGCTGGGGAGGTGAGGGGCTCCTGGCCGGGCTCCCTCCCTTCCCCTGAGCGTCTCATTTTGCTTTAGTCCCTCCCTCTAGCTTCTTTTCTGGAAGTGGTCACAGCTCTTCCCTGCCTCAGGGCCTTGGCTCAGTCTGTCCCCCAGCCTGGACCTTCCCCCACTTCACACCCCTGCCAGCCTCAGCTCTCCTCTTCCCGTCATGCCCTTCTCCGCCCCTGTCTCTCGCCCCTGCGGGCCTGGTTCAGAGCGGTCAGTTCCTTGACTGGCTGTATGAGTGAATGGCCCTTTCCCTGCCTAGGAGGAAGAACTCAATGCCTGTCAGCTCCAGACCCTACTGAGTATTGCCCTGGAGCCAGGTGAGTTGGGGTGGGAGCTGTTGGCCAGGGGTTCTTGTGACCACAGCCGGACGCCTACACTGCCCTCCACGTGTGCTAATACACGGTGCTGCTGAGCCCCAGACCGCAGGAAAACTGGGCTCAGCTCGGCAGCATCCCCCGGCCCGGGCCCACACAGCCTCTTCCTCCGAGAGGCGGCGCTTGCAGCACTGCGATGCATACTGGGAATGGAAGAAAATCCCAGCCCTGCCGGCTGCGGCCGCCAAAGTCTTTCTGTGGCTCGTGTCTGTGAGAGGCCTACGCAGGGAGTTGTGTCCACCTTGCAAAGGGGGCCAGTGGGCAGCAAGTGCCGGGGATTTTGTTTTGCAGCCCGAGCCAACACTAGGAACCCCGGGGAGATCGGGCTCAGGACCTGTGAGCAGCTGCTGCAGTGTTTTGGGGTATGGTGCCTGGGGACTGGGCACGGGGAGGTTTGCCTTTCGGGGGATACTGACCTTAACCAGATGCCTCCGCCTGCAGCACGGGCAGAGCCTGGCCCTGCACCACTTCCAGCGGCTCTGGGGCCACCTGCTGATGTGGCAGGTAAGGCAGGGGCCGGGCAGGGCTGCCTGCTCCTGGGCATAGGCCCGAGGACAGGGGGGACTGGGCTGCGCTGTGCAGGCTTGGGGTGAGCTGGCTGCCCCTCAGTGGTCCCTTAGGGGTGATCACAGCTTCTGGTCTTAGGTTGGATTCCGGGCTCTGACCCATTCAGGCTGGGTGGTCCCAGGCACATCCCTTCCCCTCCATGGGACCTCAGTTTGGCTCCACATGGGTGGTCCATCCCCCGTGAGAGGGCCTCTCCATACTCCTAACCCCGAGAAGCCAGTACTTGGCAAGCCCTCCCTAAACCTCTGCAAATTGTCCTCCTCGCCTGTGACCTGCTGTCCGCCTCCCCTGCCCACCCCCCACCCCGTCCCCCGGCAGAGGAGGAAGCAGGTACAGGTGGCTAAGCTGCTGGCCCAGAGCAAAGAGCCAGATAGGAGGGTGCCGAGCTGGGAGCTGGGTCTGTGGCCTCCGAGGTCCCCTTCAGGTTCTTTAGGGTGCAGGGCATTGTTCAGGGCCCTTGGTGCTGGGCTACACTAACCCGCTCCTCCCGCCCAGGCCACATTTGACAAGTTTGATGAGGACACCTCTGGGACCATGAATTCCTATGAGCTGCGGCTGGCACTGAACGCTGCAGGTGTGGACAGGGCCCTCGGGGTGGTTGGGGGACAGGGCTTGGTCTCTCTCCTGTCCCATCTTCTGGGTCCCACCTGCCGGCCCGGCTGCAGCCATTCACAAGGCCTTTTCCCAGCAGGGCCCGGGTGGAATCCTCTAGGTGTGGACTGAGGGGTTCCCCAAGAAGGGAACTCTGGGCGCTGCTTCCTGGACAGCGTGGTGGAATGTTCTAGATTCCAGTGAGCTTGGGTTGGAATGGTCACTCTACTGACTTCCTACTGGCACAGAGCTCCCTCCGGTGGCCTGCAGCACTGTGAGGGTGGCCTGGGGAGCCTGTGGGGTGACATTGCCCAGCACCACATACGGCCCCAAGGGAAGGCAGGGTTGGTGGCAAACGTCTATAGTCCCAGCACTCTGCGAGGCTGAGGCAGGACTGAGTTCAAGGAGAACCTGGGCAACTTAGTGAAGACTTGTATCAAAATAAATGTTTAGGGGGAAAAATGGCTAGGGATGTAGCTCAGTGGGAAAGCTGTGGGCTCAATCCAGAGTACCACACACACAAAGGAGGCGGCACAGCTTCTGCGGCAGGGAGGGAGAGCCAGCCCGTTCACTGGGCGTGGAAGCACAAAACCATCAGCCAGCCCTGGAGAGAAGCAGCCTGAGAGAAGTGCGTTCCACCAGGTCTGGACCCAATGGCATCCTCTTGGGGACAGAGGAGGGGTGGGGTCAGCCAGCCCAAGGGCCCACCTGCCGTCTGACACGGTGCAGGAAAGCCATGGGGACTGGAGGCCAGGGGGACTGCGACCCAGTCAGAGAGGCCAAGGGAGGCCACAAGTGTAGGGGGTGGACAGGTTGAGCCTAAGTCAGGGAGGTGGCATTACAGAGAACACTGGGAGTTTTGCTGAGTCTCAGCAGAGACAGAAGCAGAGGTGGGAGGAAGCCAGGCATGGTAAGCACACCTGTAATACCCAGCACCTCTGGGAGGCTGAGGCAGGAGGATCTTTGCAAGTTCGAGACCAGCCTGGGCCACAAAGTGAGCTCAAGGCCAGCCTCTCAAAACCCTGTCTCAAAAAAAAAAAAAAAAAAAAAGGGCTGTTTGAAAATGGCTAGTTGAAAAAAAAAAAAAAAAAAAAAAAGGGCTGTGGATGTAGCTCACCATGAAGGCCTAGGTTCAATTCCTAGTACCACACACAAAGAAAAAACAAGTCAGCCTGGTGTGGTGATGCACACCTGTAATCCCAGCACTTGGGAGGCTGAGGCAGGAGGATCAGTGGGAGTTTGAGGCCAGCGTGAGCTACATGGTGAGTTAAAGGCTAATCGGAACTACATGTTAAGGCCTCGTATCAAACAACAACCCCCGCTAAGAAGTTGCCTCTGATATGGAGTATGACTGCCAAGATTGTTTTGCAACCCAGAAGTATTTCTGGTACCCAAGTGACACAGTCCTTAGGTACCAGGTACCACACACAAGCCCTCCATCTTCACATCCCTTGTGGGCCGGGGCTGTCATCGTCCCCACCTGACAGGACAGACAGCCTCAGAGAAGTGAAGGCAGTAGCCTGTGGCCACACGGCCAGGACCGGACCCAGGCTGCCTGCAGGGCTGGGGGACACAGCCCGTCTTGGGGTGCAGCGTGGAAGTGGGGCTCGGGGCTCCTCCCCTAGGCTTCCACCTGAACAACCAGCTGACCCAGGCCCTCACCAGCCGTTACCGGGACAGCCGGCTGCGTGTAGACTTCGAGCGCTTCGTGTCTTGCGCGGCCCAGCTCACCTGCATCTTCTGTGAGTGCCACCCCTGCGCAGCGGGCACGGGGCGGGGCTCCCGACGGGGTGGCGGGCGCTCACTGTCCCTCTCTGTGCAGGCCACTGCAGCCAGCACCTGCATGGGGGTGAGGGGGTCGTCTGCTTGACCCACAGACAGGTGAGCCGGGCTGGAGGGGCAGGGTGGCTTTGGCACCATTCGGGGACCCTGCCTCAAGCCTGCCTCTTCCTTCTCGAGCAGTGGACAGAGGTGGCCACCTTCTCCTAGGACGTTTAGGCCAGTGCCTGCTGCCCAGCCGACTCACTGACCGGCCGCCTCTCTGTGCTCCGCTCTCCCTGGGTCAGCAGCGGCACTTCCTGTGCTGCCGCCGCCTGCGTTAGTCCCTGCTCCATTTAGACCGGAGGGGCCCACGGCGCCTTTGATTTTACACAGGGCGGGAGTGGGGTCTCCGGGCTCACACGGGCTCCCGAGGCAGAGAATGGACGGCAGAGAAAGAGAGGACACTGTAGGGCTCCTTCTTAAAAATATTACATGTTTTATTATCCTGTCCCCAGAAGGGTGGTTTATCCAGAAACCGAGAAAAAAAATCAATCAGAATAAACTCAGAAGTGGGGAGGGGGAGGCAAAACCATCAACTACCAGGCAGCCAGGCCAGCAGCCCACCCCCACCTCAGGAGGTCCCGAGACCCTGCCCAACACACACGAGGACGACAACAGGAAGGGGCCGGGCGGGCAGTACATCAGCTATGTCTTCATTAGGAGAGCAAGAGGCGGCAGAGATATGTTGCTAGGTGAATATATATTTATATAATAAATCCGTAAGTTAATAAAGTAAATAGTAATCTTCTGAAAGTTTTTAATTTTTGTAGTTTTTTAAAATTTTTTTGTGGCTTTTTTGTTTTTGTTGTTGTTTTTTTGTATTTTTGTTGTTTTGTTTTGGTCCTTAGAAAATGAGACGGCAAGTCCAAACAAAGCAAGGCCAGGGCTGCCTGGGGCGAGGGCCCAACCTGCCTGCACACCTCCTCTGCGGCACTGGGGGTGCTGGGTGGTGCACCTCAGCTCCTGGCACTCACAGATGCCACCGCCAGGGAGGCGGGGGAAGGGAGCGGGTTGGCCCAGTGGGTAGCTCTGGCGCCCTCTGCTGGACCCCTCGCAGGGCAGGGTGGTTCCTGGACAAGGCACATGGGGCTTTGGCCTGGATGTGGGAGGCCTGGAAGGGACCTCAAGGGCAAAGGGAAGGACCCGGGTGGAGGGGCATCCCCAGGGCACAGAGGGGACTGCCTTCCTATGGGGATCCGCTGTCTCCACATAGGTAAAAAAAAAAAAACAACCACAATAACACATCATATATATTTACCAGACCAGGGGCATGAACCCCAAAAGTCTCCCTTCTCCTACCTGATGCAGGGACCTCCTGGCCAACCAACAAGAGAGAGGAGAGAGCCTGCCCCAGCCCCTCCCTGCCCACCCTCCCACCCCCAAAGGCCCGACAGAGAGTGCTTTGCATAGATACAGAGTCAGGGGAACAGGGAGCCGGGCCCCTCCGGGAGGCCTCGAGGAGGGTGTGGTGCGGTGGTGGGGGGGCCTCACAGGTCGCTCTCGCCATAGAGTGCCGTGGAGAAGGACTTGTAGTCCAGGGCGCCGGGCACGGCATCGGGGCCCTGGTAGGGCGCCATGCGGGCGATGCAGTACTCCGCCTGGTCGGGGGGCAGCTCTCTCCGCAGCTCCTCAGCCGTGATGAAGTTCTGGGGCAGCGAGGCAGGACTCTGAGCCATTCCCCACCCTGTGCCGACCTCCCAGCCCCCCGTACCAGCGTGGCCCAGGTTCCTGCTGCAGGGACCCTCCTGCCGACCTGGGGGCCCTCAGGGGTCCCGCTTACCTTGTCCCCGGCCAGCACCTTGAAGGAGGCGATGACCTGGTCGGCTGTGTCTGTGTCAGTGGTCTCCCTCGACATGAAGTCGATGAAGGCTTGGAAGGTCACGAGGCCACTGTGGTTGGGGTCAACCACACTCATGATGCGGTTGAACTCGGCGTCGCCCTGGGAGGGGATGGGCGCAGGGGACAGGCAGCACTTAGTGGGGGGTGGGCAGCCAGGTGAGGACTGCAGGACTCGGTCCCGGAGGAGAACTGCCAGGACAGCAGGCCACGTGGTCAGCCCAGGCCGAGCTTCACCGTGCGACTGCCCAGACCCTGGCTTGGAGCCGGCCCGCATCCTCCCCTCCCATGGTCTTGGGAAGTAGGGAGTTGGGGTCTACAGCCCCCAGCCCCAGGCTCACAAGTCAGCTCAGGAGGGTGGGGAAGAAAGAAAGAGAGAAAGAGAAAGAAAGGGGAGAGAGTGGGAGGACTGCCCCCCTCTCTCTGGAGGCTTCTTGGGCAGCGGGGGCTTGAGGAGTCATCGGAGGGACCCCAGCCCGCAGGTGCAGCGGAGGCAGCAGGCAAGGCCACACGCCGCTCTGGCGGGGGAGTGTCCCCGAGGACATGGAAGCTCGGAGGCGGCGAGGGGGCGGGAGGAGGCGAGGAGGAGGAGGAGGAGGAGGAGGAGGAGGAGGAGCAGTGGCAGGGGAGGCAGAGGCTGCATACCAGGCTGTATCCTGTGGAGATAAGCAGAGCCCTGAAGTCATCGGAGTCCATGCTGCCTGTCTGCTTCTGCTCCCAGGACGCAGGCATAGCAGAGGAGACCAGGCCCAGAGCAGGCAAGAGGGGCCGCCCAAGGACACAGCGGGCAGACAGGACAGTGGCAGGAGCAGGGAGACAGGAGGCCCCGAGAGACCAGGTAAGGGGAAGGTGTCCGAGAGACATGAGGGCCGGGAGGAGGCAAGAGAGCCGGTGAGATGGCACACACGATGGCAGGGGGTGGGATGGCGGAGGGAGGGAGAGAGAGAAGGAGAGAAAGAGAAGAGCAGTTAATGCCACGGTCCGCGGGGGCCCGGGGGTGCGCGTACCTGCCGGTCGTTTTCCACGTCGTAGCCCAGGCTGATGAGGCAGGCCTTGAACTCCTCGGGCCCCAGGGCCCCGCCATGATCCTGCCGGCCATCGAAGGCAGGTGCGCGGGGGTGGTGTGGAGAGCAGGCCGCAGAGGCGGGAGAGGGGCCAGGGCCACATGCAGAGGACGGGGAGGGGGACACACGGGGGAGGGAAACAGAGTTAGAGGCGACAAAGACGAGGAGATGGCCAGGGATGGGAGGGTCAGGAGGCGGTGCAGGCCCCTCACCCTGCCTCCACCTGGGGGCCTCCCTACCCTCTGGGCCAGCGCAGAAGGTAAGGGAATTCTCTCTTCCTTCAGGATTTGGGCGAAGAGGGGGCATCAGGGGGCCACCTGCTGGTGCAGGGCCAGCTGGTGGGAATGGAGCTATGCTCCGGCGTTCAGGCCCCTCCAAAGCAACTGCCACACCAACTTGCACTTCGAGAACACCTTGTGGGACCAGGTTCCCAGGCTCTCAGCAGCGGGCTGGCGCAAATGCAGCCCCAGAGAGCAGCTTGGAGACATCCTCCCCGCCCCCCTCTCCGGTGCACTAACACCCCCAGGGCTGGGGTCCTGCCGCCCACGGCGGGGGCTGAGGCTCAGTTGGCTGCTGGGAATGGACAGGCACGAAGACAGACGAGGGCGAGAGGGGCAGGGACAGTGGGGAGGGACGGCACTGGAGGCGAGGGAGCCGCTCACCTTGTCGAAGTGGTTGAAGGATGCCCGGAACTCTTGCATCTGCTCCTGGCTGATGCCCTTGGCGTCTCGGGTGAGGATCTGGTTCTCGACTTCATTGATGGTGCGGGCGATGGTGGTGAGCAGCTGCTCCCAGCCCACGCGGATGTGCTGTGGGAGGGAGGGGGTTTGACTGCGGGCTGCTGGCTTTGTTGTCCCGAGTGTGTGTGAATGCGTGTGTGTGTGTGCACGCGCACGTGCGCTGCGGGCTGGGTCAGGTCTCCCTAGGGGACTCTTCCCCAAGTGCCACCTCAGCCCCACACTCTCCTACAGACCTGCTTTGCACAGGGGACATGGGGCTGCAGCGCCTCCCTCTGCTCCTGCCAACCAGCAGGGCTCATCCACTCCCCGAGGAGACAGCACAAAGGCAGGGACACTGGACACTGTGCCAGGACCACATGGCAACGTTTTAGAGGCCCGCGATCGCTGTGCAAAGACAGGCTGGGCACAGAGGGGAGGACACACAACTCCCCGCTAGTTTGCGGCTTTTATGGGCCTGGACAGTAGGATGCTCTCCCGCTGAGTGTTTCCAGCTCCCCACAGAACTGCTCCTGAAATCCCTGACCCTTTAACCTTGTCTTGGCCGCACTGCCCGACCCAGCGCGGGACCTGGGCCTCAAGCAAGGCAGAAACTTCGAGGCCACCGGCGGGGTGGGGGTGGCAAAGGTGACCCCAGCAAGTGCTCGGAACTATGTCTGAAGACAGGCACTGTCGCAGTGATGGGAAAGCACAGCGTGGCTTTAACAACATGCAAGCAGCCTGGCCTCATCTTTCCAATCATTCAACAGTAGGGACACAGGTAACAGCAAACCTATTTCAAAGGGGGCGCCTGGGCGGGGCGGGGGCTGGGCTCACACCTCCATGGTGTAGTTGGTGTGCTTGTTGTCGAAGATGAGGGCCTCCTGGATGAGCTGGTGCTGCTGCTCCAGCAGGTCCAGGTTGGGCTTGTAGTCCACAATGCTGCGCTCGTACTGCTTCAGGTGGTTCAGCTGGTCCTCCAGGGTCCCGTTCATCTCGATGGAGATGCGCCCTATCTCCTGCAGGGGGAGGTGCACCACAGCCAGTGAGGCCTCATCCACAGGCTGGCCCTCCTGCTGCCCTCAACAGCCCCTCCTGGTCCCTTTCTCAGATGTAAAAGCAGCCACAGTGGGGACCTCTGTGCTGTACTTCACACACCTAACTTCACTGCTCCCCTGACCTCGCCAAGAGAGCCAGGCCCTGACCGCAGACAGGCAAACAGAGGCTCAAGGACAAGTTACGACAATTAGCGGCGCAGCCAGGATCTGAACACAGGCCTGGCTGGATTCAGAACCCATGGTTCCTGGCCATGGGGACCCCATGCCCTCCACTCTCACAGCCACACGCACCGCACCTTGAGGCTGGCTGCCAGGCACCTCCGGCCGCACGGGCTGGCTTCCAGCAAGGCTGCTCATAGCTGCCTGGCGCACAGCAAGTGCTCCACAAGGGGCAGCCAGAGCCACCCCCAGTAGCACGTCACACCCTCCTGGGGCTGTCATGCGGGCCGCGTGTGAGCTGCGCTGCTCGTAGCTCCCCGCGGCACGTAGATAGGCCCCACAGAATGAGGTACCCCCCTCTCCAGTTCTGAGAGCGGCGAACGGGGGTCAGAGGCTCCAGATCACCAGGACAGAGTGGAGGCTCAAGCTCACACCTGTCTGACCCTCAGCCAGCTTTCTCTGGCTAGCACAGCCAGTTTTACCCACATAACCCTGCAGACCCTTGGCAGTCTGCTGGGGCGCAGCCAGGAGGGGCCCCTCTCACCTCCATCTTGGTCTGGATCCAGGGCCCCACCACGTTGGCCTGGCTGGCGAACTGGCGGCGGAGGTGCTCATTGGACTGCTGCTTGCTCTGCTCCTCCATGAGCGCGTGGTCCCGCTTTGGCACCAGCTGCTGCACCTGCAGGGCCGCACAGCAGGAGCAGTGAGGGGGAGGGGGCCACCCCTGGCTGCAGGGCCCTCGCCCTCTGGAAAAGCCCATCCCACCTTCTCCCACTTGGAGTTGATGATCTGGGGGGTGACGGTGGTGTAGGGGTTGCTGCCTGACAGCTTGATGTGGTTGCTCTCAGCGATCCTTTGGGCCTCTTTGTGGATGGCCAGGATGGCCTCGCGCTCCCTGTCAGCATCCGGCAGGGTCGACTTGAACTGGTCGTGTGCTGAGATCAGGCCCTGGGGGATGAGAAGGAGTGAGGGGGAGCCCGGCCCTCAAGGGGCCACCCGGGGGAGCGGCGGGGCAGGGCGGACCTCGATCTCCTCGATGGTGTGCACAATGAACATGTCCTGGAGGTCCTCCATGGCGCTCTCCATCCAGTTGTTGAAAGGGGCGGCCCGCTTGGCGTACTCCAGGTGCAGCTGGTCGATGGTCTCCAGCTGCTTCTCTGTTTTCTGGAGGCGGGCAGGGGCAGCAAAAGGAAAGCAGGTCGGCTGGTGAGTGAGTCAGATCCCGGGAGGCAGCCAGGAGCCCGTGCATGCGGCCTCTGTCCCCCCTCCTCACCGTACCGAGGGCAGCAGGGAAGCAGGCCTGCTCCTTACCTCCAGGGCTTCCCTGCGACTGTGGGTCAGATTGCCCAGGGTGTCCCACTGGTCACAGATCTTCTGGCACCGGGTGTTGACATTGTGAGAGTCGTAGTAATCCAGCTCGCTGTGGGACGGTGCACAGTGTGAGACCCAGCAGGGCCGTGCCTGGTCCCTCCGCCCCAGGGTAGAGGCCATATAGCAAGGTGGCAGTAACCGACCTTGCCTCTGCTGTGGGCTGCGGCATCATCGGGGCAGGAGGAACAGACGTAGGGGGCGTCTCCTACTGCTCACCCACCTCACTCTGCTGCTGCTCACTGACCAGCAATGGGGTCTGGGGTTCGGCCCTTCCACCAGGTCTGGTAGCCAGGCTGCCCTTTGTGGGTTTTTTTTTGTACCAGGAATCGCACTCAGGACCTTGTGCTTGCTTGTGCCGCTGAGCCATATCCTTGGCCTTGCCTTTCGGTTTTAAAGGACATCTAGCAGTGTAGAAGCTACACCAATGCGCCAGACTCCCTAGGCTGGGGATGCAGCTCCTAGGATTTTTGACTCTTTTGACCCAGGCCAAGTGCCTTCCCTGCTCTGGACACCTCAGTTTTCCCATAGGGGGAATGGAAATAAAGTTATTGCAGGGATCCAATTAATTAATGCGTGAGAAGTCCTCAGAGCAGACTCTGGCAACTAGCAAGTAAAAGCAGCAATAGCTATTAAAGGTTTAGTTTACGTCAGCAGCGTATTAACACAATACATATAACTACCTTGTGATCTCATTCTAAGCCATCAGTAATTACTTAAGAACAAAAGTGAGTTGACTTTAAAAAGCAAGTATGTATTCACAGTGGCTGCCCCTCCTTTTGAGGGGTTTGGTTTTCCAGTTTCTGTTACCTGTAGCCCAAAAATATTTCTCTTGACTCAAGAAAGACTGCACTCCATTAACCTTTCTAAGAGTATACTGTTGTAATTGCACTAGTTCATTACCAATACTGTTACTCTCTTACTGTGCCTGGCATATAAGACACAGGGTTTAGCACTGTCTGTGCTGTCAGGCACGCACTGGGGTCTCGAACTGCACCCCTGCAGCTGAGGGAGACTAAGAACCCGACTATCATTTGAGTGACTGTGGCTGGGTCAAGAGCTCTGCTGGCTCTGACCCCAAAATTCTCCCCGTCCCACTACCGCCTGCTGGCCTCAGCCTCAGGACCTCTGCCTGCTGGGGTCCAAGCACTTGGCTATTCTTGGTAGGAGGCTCCGAGGCAGCTGGGGCCAGGCTGGGACCTCAGGTGCTCGGTGAGGAACACCTCTGAGAGGACAAGGTAAGCCATTCACAGCCGGGCGGGCAGGACGTGGTGGCTGAACAGACAAGTGCTGGGAGAGGGCGCACGGCCACACTCCCCGGGGTCGATCCTGTTGCCACCACTCCCCAAGGCCCGGGGCCTCTCTGCGCCCGTCTCCCGTGACTTCACTCTGGCTGCGCTGGGGATTAAGTGAGCTGGTGTACGCGGCGCTCTGAGCACTGTGAGGGCTCCCTGTCACCACTCATCAGCACTCAGTGGACCGGTCCCAGGCTCGTCCTCCAGTCCCTAGGCCTCTCTGACTCAGCCTTAGGAGAGGGCAGCACCCAAACAGCACGCCTCCTGCCTCCACAGTTCCCGTCCTGGAAGCTGCTCTGGGACCGCCTCGGCGGCTGGTGCGCAATCCGTAGCAGGTCCGAGCAGGCCGGCCCAGCATCCACTCCGAGTCTTCTCCCCACAAGCTTCCACCCCCATGGCCCTGCACCGAAGGCCTTGCTCTCCTAGGTGTGGACATGTGGGACCCCCAGGGGTGTTTCACGGTGCCAAATAGGGGTGCTGTGGTTCCTAGCACTGCGGGGGCGGGGGGGGGCCCATAGTCCTCTGCTTCTGGTGAGCAAGAAGGGACCCTAAAGCAGCCAGGCGGTGGGGGAGGAGGGTCAGGGGAGAAACCACCCTCGGCCACGAGCCCCCTCGTCTCAGGGCTGCACTGCCCTTGCAGGAACAGCTGTTTTGGGGATGACTGCGGTGGGGTGGGGCATCTGTGTAAAGGGCAGTTCCAGCCAAGGATCCTATTTTTGAGCAGACCGCTATTTTGGGAGCCCTGCTGCCCCTCCAGGGCCTTTGGATTTTCCATGAAGTAATGGCCTAGGCCTCCTACTCCCTGGGCCCTCCTGCTCCTGGCGGCCGCCCTGGTGGAATAAGGCCTCATTCACTGGCTCCAGGGGCTCAGTGTACTAATTGTATGCACAGTTTATCTGACTGGGGTGGGGAAGGGAGGGGAAGGATGGGGCTGCTTGGAAGCACACACAATAAGTGTATTCTGAGCAAGAAGGAAGGGGCGGGGCACAACAATGGGGGCACTGTGCAGCCCTGTTCCCTCAGGGAGGAGCGGCTGCGAGCCGGGAAGGGTAGGCAGCCCCCACGTGGGGCTGGGAGCCAGCGGTGCAGCAACAGGGGAAGGGCAAGTGGAGCCCCAGACACCCCTAAAACCTGAGGGCTTGGGACAAGAGGCCGGAGACTTCCCTCTCTAGGTCCTTTATTTTCCTTACCCCAGGCTGAGACAGGCAGGGCCAAAGGCCTCACCCTATAAGGCCTCCCTGGGCCCCCAGTATCTGGAAGGCATGAAGAGAGAGGGTTTGGGGATCTCACTCTAGGCCTCCAGGCAGGCCGGACCTTGGAGGGGTGCTGGAAGCGGGCACAAGTCCACACGTACTTAAGCTCCTGGGCAATGGCCGCAATCTGCTCCACACGGTCCTGGTGCGCAGCCAGGTCACTCTCGAAGGCCTCATGCTTGCGGATAAGAGCCTTGATGTCCGACAGGGTGGCTGTTTCATAGTCCCGGTGCTTCAGCATGGCTTCTTTCCCTGTGTGTGGTGGGGGCAGAGAGGCACAGGCACATGGGCAACAGCAGAGCGGCTATGGGACAGGAAAGGTGTGCATGCGTGTGTGCCCCATCAGGAGGAGGCAAGATGGATGCAGACTCTATTATCTTTCCTTGCTGAGGATGGTGCTATGAAGACTAGAAACTTCCAGAGCCTTCTTATCACCTACAGCTGTATCTCTATGCTCCACTGTGTCCTGGATAGACCTAGGAGACACCTTGGAGTTTGTGGACCTGAGACAAATATCCCAACTTAGCCCACACATTCTAAATTTAGTGTCCGTTACTGGTAAGAGACTGTAAGAAGGATGGTGGTACTACGTATGGCCAGAAAGCTAAATACCCACTTCCGGAGGTCTGTGACCCAGAGAAGGCCTTGGGCTTGCAGCCACACCCCAGCAGCACAAGGCAGATGGGGCAGCCCTGAGTCTGGGTTCTTCCAGGAGCCTGGCCCTGTGCCTGCCTGCTCTGGCTCTTCGAAGCTAAGTTCCAGGTGGTGGTCCTATCACATCTCTGCCACCCCCAACTGTCCTGTGGCTTTCTGCACTCTGTAGGGTGGGGCCCACCATCAGGCCCTTTGAAGGCAGGGAGGAATGCTGTTATTAGTCCTGGAGCCTGGCTAATTACACACCCCAGAACAAAAGCTCAAGCCAGCCTGGCAAGTTAAGGGACTGCAGGGAACTCAGGGAAAATACCAGCCTGGGAAAGTGGTCAGGACCCCTAGCTCTTACAGGGGCCCTGCTTCAGGTGTGCCCCTCAAACTCCCCTGGAGTCGCAGCTCAGGGATCCCCTCAGCTTTGTCCTAGAGCCCCAGACAAACAAATGTCCACCCAATGTAGTGACCAGGAGCCCTGCGTCTTACCCTCCACCTGTACAATGAGTTGACAGCAGCACCTGCACGGCACTGGGCTATTCTGTTCAGGGAGGTGATGTTCAAGAATGGAGGGCATGGAGCCAGCCAGTACTGTCCTCAACTCAGCCACCCTGTCTCATCCGTCCCGAAACTACCCACAGGCCCAGAACAAGGCCTGGCACTGGAGACAAGGGGGTGCCGCCTGGGAGACGACTCCACAGCCCGGCCGCCCCTGCCCTGCAGCAGGAGGCTTAGCCACAAAGGCAAGCTTGCAGCTCCGTCTCCAAACTGCTTTCTCCCGAGGGTGGGAACCAGAAATAGCAGGTTAGTCCTCTGCCTCTGTGGAGTTTCAGCAGGAGCTGGCCAGGGCGCCCGGGATGAGTGGGGAGCAGGCCAAGAGGGAAGAAAGGGGCTTGTTGTATATTTCTGTCCCCAAGCATTCTTACTCAGTCTCTCTGAGAAGCATTCACATGAAGCCTCACCCCTGCAGGCTGTGGGCGATGGCCCAAGCAAGCCCTGAAGCCCCCACTTAGGGCTCAAGAGGTGGCCCTAACTGGGTCCCAGCAGGGCTCAGGAGCCTTGAAGCCGGTGCGTCCTCAGTTTTCTGCAATTGGTGGTTCAGAGGATGGGCTTCAGGTCGAGGGAAGGCGAGCGGGCAGCCTGCGTGGGTCTGGGCTGACGCAGGACCAGGGCTGGATGCCAAAGTGCCTGCAGGGGGCTGGGGGTGGGTGCCCGCCAGGCAAGGTGGGGCAGGTGAGAGGAGGCTGCTGAACCAGTTGAGCCCTGGCTGAGACTGAGCTGCCTGCCTTTTAAAGGCCCCCGGTGAATGCCACCCGACAGGCAGCTCCAGGGAAGGGGCTGTCCAGTGGGCCATCACACTCACCCGCTTGGCCTCAGTGAAATCTTCCCAGGGCCTCCTGGAGCCCTAGGTAGGCACTGAGGGGCCTCTGCAGAGGGCCACCCACAGGGGTGATGCCACAGCCACCAAGGAGGGACGAGATGCAGCACAGGAGCCATCCTGGTCTGAGGGACACAGGCACTGAATAATCTGTATCACCCAGGGGCCCTCCGACAAGAGCAGTGCCAGGAACTGCTGGCTTAAGCACTCCCCGTGCAGGAGCTGCAGCTGCTTGGGACGCTACCGTACACGGGGAGGTGGTTCCGGGGATGTTTGTTGAGTGAACAAATGAGCTAAGTGTCAAAGCCCAAATGGCATCCCAGCTAACACACTCACGGGCACTGGCTCTGTGAGCCACCGGACAGGGGCCTGCATCCCCCTGCACCTCATCGCTTGTCTCTCTCAGTCTTCCCTGGTGAGAAGGGATTAGGTTTGCTCTGGGTCTGGCCGTGGCTGCTGGAGCTAACACGAGGGGAGCACAAGCTGGGCTGCGGCCAGGACCCGGGGTGAGGTGCGCCTGGGCCTGGGCCTTGTGCAGGTTGCTCAGCTCAGCATCTGGCCAGCACTGGGGCTGCCTGTTCACACAGCTGGTGCCTGAGGCTCAGTGAGGATCTCAGGGAGCTGGGGGTGGGAGATGAGAAATCACACAGAGCAGGAAAGGAAGCGTGACACAGCAGGGCTGCGTGGCAAGAGGGCTAAGGGGCAACTGGGAAGGAGGCGGTCACAAGCCAGACGGGCCCTGTGGAGGACTTCTTTTTCACGGTGCTGGAGATTGAACCCTGGGCCTCCACTGCACCATACCTCCCGCTCTTCTGCTTTCCCAGGCACAGGCAGTTTCCTGAAGGCTCTCAGGCCCCTGGGATCTGGAATCTCAACCATGGCGTGGGTCCCAACTGAGAGCCAGGGACGTGATGGAATTCTACATCTCGAGCCAGAGGGACAGGCAGCTGCTGGGCTGCCGAGAAACAGGAGGTGACACTGCGCTCTGAGAAGCCGTCCTGCGGTGGCCAGGGCCCTGGGAAGGAGGCTGTGGGCTGGGTGGGAAGTGAGACGCTCACAGGGTGTCTGGCAGTCACGAAGCAGCCTATGGGTGGGCAGCGGAGGCAGAAGGTGGCTCTCTGGCCTGGCCCTTAGTAAGTGAGCTGGAGAACACAGACCCATTCAGCACCGGCTCCTCCGCGTGAAGCCCACAGCCACAAGTGTGGGGGCGGGAAGGCGGACTGAACAGGGACCCGGGGAGGAGGGCAGCATGGGGCTTGGCTGTGTTCCAGGATAATGTCAACAATGACCCAGCAAGCAGTCCCTATAAGTAACCACGGAGGCCAGAGCAGACAGGGCACTAAGGTGGATATGGGCACCAAGTATACCTTATTCAGCATGTCTGACACACAGGAAAGGGACTGATAAATACAGCCTTCGTGCAGAGGTTTTGCGCGTGCACGTGCATGGGTCTGACAGCAGAGAGGAGAGCGTCCTCCCGAGGGAGCAGGAGGCCCATACCGTCAGTCCAGGCCTCATGGATGGAAGCCTTCTGCCGGAACTTCTCTGCCAGGTGGTCGAGCCGCTCCAGCCTGCGTATCTCATTCAGCAGCCACTCCTCGTAGCCCTTCTCGGCCTGCTCCAGGTGCTGCCAGCCATTGTTGATGTCCTACGAGGATGGGAGAGGGCAGCACTACCACCAGGTCCTGTCTCTTACTTTGCTGCATCTGTGTGTCTAGACAGGCCGCACACGCTGCATCAATCTTTCAGTTTAACTGAGGGAATCTGTAAACCAGTGGATGAACGATTGGGAGGATGCCACAGATAAGGCTATGCGAGTTGCAGGGGACTATTCAGGGGACACTGCCCCTCCCCTGGTAAAGGGTCTCAAGTATGTGCTGATCCTGGAGGCTCAGCAGACCAGGAGTCCAGATTCGTGGGAGGTCTAGAAAACTCTGGGTATGAAACCTAGAGAACAGGGGTGGGGGAAGGTGGCAGTGTGAGGCACACCCTCATCCACACAGAGGGTTGTGCGTTTTGATTAAGACAAATGATGCTGGCCACACAGCAAGCCTGAGGCTATTCTAGAGCCACTGCAGCCCCGGGAAGCTGCTCCTTAGCTCTCTGGAGCCCTGCTGGGCACTCACCGAGACCATTCTGCCCTCAGAGGGCATGAAGGCTGGCCGATTGCTGAGGCGCAGCTTGGTCTGTAGTGTGTTGAAGTTGATCTCCAGCTGGCACTTCTCTTGCACCTTGGGTGGCTTGTGCACACGCCGGTAGTCACGGAAGTCCTCCAGCTTCTGCTGCATCTCCTGGATGGTTCTTTGGGGCACACGGTCCTCCAGCCAGGGGATGGTGCGGCGGATCCACTCCAGGAGCTGTGGGCCCACAAGAGGCTGTGGTTCCTTTGCAGGGGGTGGACAGAGCACCGAAGGGCTGCCCCTCCCAGCTTATGGGCCAAGGGATATCTCGACCTTCAAGGGCCCTATCTTTAGGGGTATTCCCAGTCCAACTTCATGACTCCCACTGGGATCCCATAACTGTGTGACATACACTCCCAGCCCCAGCCCCTGCTCCACTCACTGGCTACTTCCTGTCTGTGCTTTGCTCTCGCGTCCTCTTTTCTCAGACCTAAGTGGCTAGGCTCAACTCAAATGCCCCCACCTCAGAAGCTCCCATGATTCCTAGCAGCTGGCTTTACCAAACTCAGTTCTGAGCGTCACACTGCCTGACCCAATGACCATGTAACCGCCACAGGGCAGGGGTCGCACTGGCCCCACAAAAGTCAGGTATGGCCAATGTGGATACAAGGCCTGGGATATAAAAACTAGAAAACTAAGAAAGTAACATAAATTCTTAAAAATTGCTCTGATCTTTGATGGAGTGAGGGAGGGTACGAACAAGCAAGCAGATTGGACAATGGAACATCCCAGAAGAGTGAAGCCAACAAGTTTTTAGTACAGACATGCCCAGAGAATGGCTTCCCAAATACCAACCCTGGTAACACGAGAACACCAAGGACACAGGTATCTGTATAGTATGTACGTTTGGTTTTTTTCAGTACCAAGGATTGAACCTAGGGGTGTTTCACCACTGAGAATATACCCCTAGCCCTTTTAAAAAATTTTTTTTTCAGGGCTGGGGATATAGTTCAGCAGCACAAGTGCCTGCCCAGCAAGTGCGAGGTCCTGGGTCTTGAGTTCGATCCCCAGTACCCCCTGCAAAAAAAAATTTTTTTTTTCAGTCTGGGCTTGCACCTGTGATCTTCCTGCCCCAGCCTCTCAAGTAGCTAGAATGACAGACATGCAATACCATGCCTCAGTACTGCATGGTATCCTGGTATACACTACTAATGGCATTTTCTTGGCCATGGCTGGGCCTGAAGAATATAAGCTTTCTGCCTTGCCCTGGCGTTAGGAATGACAGCTGCAGCAGAGTGGCTTTGCTTTTGTGTGTTTGGTGCTGGTGATGGGATAGAATCCAGGGCCTTGCACACGTACATACTAGCCAAGTACTGCACCACTGGACTATACCCCTAGCCTCAAGGGGTATAGTGCTCTATATTTGCCCTCTTTTGTAAAAGGTGTTTTCTTTTCTTTTTTTTTTTTTTTTGATATAGGATCTCACTATGTAGCCCAGGCTGGCCTCAAACTCGAGGCAATCCTCCTGCCTCAGTAATCCTTACTGAGATTACAGGAATGCGCCACCATGCCTGGCTTGTGAAAGATTTTTAACTGCACGAAATAGAGTTGGCAACTCTAGATTGGGTGTTAAATGCTTCTCAAATTTTCTTTGTTTATGATCTCAAAGCCTGGGGCCATTGGTTCTAGAATAGTCGGTGGTGGCTGAGCATCTCTCGGAAGGAACCAAAACTCAGAACCCAGGAGCCAGCTGGCATAGTGACCACCTGTCTGAGCCTCTACTGTTAAAGCCAACCCAGGTCACATCCTGACTCAGTCACACTTTCTTCTCGAAAGGCCTAGAACCTCATGACCTTTCTAGATCTTGCTGCCATATCTGCTTTCTCCCTACAAGTGTCTCAAGGACCTTTTGCCATGGGTAATAAGAGGCGACCTTGTCTTTCAGCTCTCCTCTGGCCACAGGGGCAGGGGCGGGGCATACTCACGTCGCTGGCCAGCCGCTCATAATCTTCCATCAGGTGTTCATTCTCCTGGTTGACAGCCAGCACCTTGCAGATCCGGTTGGCAGCAGTCTCAGCCTGGGGGAAATGCACACAGTCAGCGCTGCTGTGGCTGCTGACCCTCCCTCTGGACAGGCACGTCCTCTGAAAGCAGTTTGTCCACAGCCCCCACAGAACTCCAAGGAGGGAGAGGAGAGGAAACGCAGCTCCAGCAAGATGGCCTTGAGTGGCCGAAACCTAACAGGCCTTGTCGACCTCCTTAGTTTACTGTAAAACACCGTGTAGCCAGGGAGCTGGCCCCTAGGGGCACTGAGTAGGGTTGGAAAGCCCTCCCACTACTGAGGACAGTCCTTCAGGGGCCCATACGGAGGACGGCGGACGAGCTTGTGTCCCACCTCAATCCTGGAAGGGGCTTCCCTATGGTGGGGAGGTGGCTGGGGGCCTCAGAGCTGGACTGCTGTGCTCTGGAGGAGCCTGGTGGTCAGCACAGGCAGGCAGAGCACACTCAGACCCTTCCTTCTCCTGCCCTCAGAGGTGGGAGTCACCAGGAGCTCCTGGGGGCAGAGGTCCGAGTCCAAGGGGTCAGAGGGAAGCCAGGGAATTATCCCCTGGCCCTGAACTACAGAAGCATGTGCTGCCTTGTCCTGCTGGGGAAGCAGACAAGGTGCAGCAGGAAGGGGGGTGCACACAGGGAGGAGAGACCAGGTACCTTTCAGGAAGCACAGAAAGGGTCCGAGAGGAGTTGAAACAGCAACAGGACAGGAACAGAAATAGAGGAGGGTCTACAGAGCGCCGGGGAGGAAAACAGAGAGGCCTGGCGATGGCTCTGGGCCAGGCTGGCTGCAGGTACCACCCCCCGCCTCTCCCATCCACACACCGCACAGGGACAGGCGGGGAGGGGGGGCCACCAAGGCTGGCATGGGTGCGTGGGCACAGGCACACACAGCTCACAGCGTTACGCAGGGCGCACACCCAGGGCGCCAGGAAGCATTCCTGAGTGCGTTCACAAGGGCCCTGGCCAGGACAGCAGCCCCAGCTCGGTGCAGGAAGCACAACCTGGGGTGCGGCTGACAAGGTTGGCAGAGGGGTCAATTTCCTGACCCTCGCCTGGGCAGAAACACCCGGGGCCCCAAGCTCACATCCGTGCTGCTGCCCACTGGAGGACCTTGTTTTCACTGCATCTGGGTGTTCAGGCTTAGGAACATTTGGATGGTGAGCAGAGGAGGAACGAATGCATTCATGACTAGAAACAGCCACCAGGAGAGAAGGGCACGTTTGGTGCGAGGCCTGGGCTCACCCTGTGTGTAGGAAGCCCCCAGAGCACTCTTTACAGAGTTCAGATGAGTCTGTGGGGACAGGACTATAGCAACCAAAAGCGCCCCACAGCTATCCTGAGAGGAGGGCGCAAAAGCAGAAAAGGCTGGTTTCTTCAGATAGGGTCTCACCATGTAATCCAGGCTGGCCTTGAACCCACCATGGGGCCCAGGCTGCCTTGAACTCGAGCTGATCCTCAGCTGGGATGACAGGTGTGCGCCACCATGCCTGGTGGCGATGGCTGAAGCAGCCTTAACCCTGCACTCTCTTACGGCCAAGTTCCCTGCAGGCTGGCCTTGACGTCCTCCCTCATAAAAAGGGCCAGGGTAGCTGTGGGGCCAGCTGCCTTAAAGCCCCTCAGCGCTCCGACCTGAGTTTGCTCGCTAGCAACTGCTCTACACTCCCTAGGCCCTTCCTTCACCACCACACTGGGGTTTAGCTCTCAGCACAAGGGGAATCCTGAGAAGAAAAAGCAACCTGGTGAGAGCAATGTGGCAGGAAGGGAGGCCCACTGGGGAGTCCAACAGCAAACACACAGTTAGTTGGGGTTCACTGGGAGGAGTCTTCCAGCACTGCCCATCCTGCACCCCCGAGTTCCCCCCACTGCGCTCATCAACAGCACTCTTCAAGCACAGGCTGCGGTCACATGCTGGGTGGGTGACGGGGCTGCACCTGTCCACGTGTTCGGCGGGCTGAGCAGCAGCAATGCACAGGCCCGTCTCAGGCCCTCTGCTGGCGGGAGCTCATCTCACCCCCGGAGCATCCTATGTGAGCAGTGTGATTCCTAGGGGGATCTGCGCTGAAGTGACCAAGAGGTGGCAGAATAGGGCCAGGCCAGTCTGACCACGGTGCTGCCTCTGATAGAGGTGGGGGAATCTAAGCAAGTGGCCTACAGACAACAGCAGACTTCAGTGTCTTCTCTTTTCCGTGGGCCTAACCAGGTCCACCCTCCCTGGGCACATAGGGACTGTCAGGGGACCTGGGCATGTGATGTCCTTAGAGGGTGCCACGGTGAGTAAGTGTTCAGGAAACAAGCACTGGCTCCACCTCCCCGTCCACTCGCCTAGTGCCAACACACAAGTCAGCAGGAGCACACGGCTGCCCAAGACACTTTAGAGACCAGGAGGGAAGACGGGTTCCCGGGCTTCCCGCAGATGAAAGCCTGAAAGGAGCCATGGGGGTAGCCTGAGGTCAGCCAGGCTTAGGGAGAGTCGCCTGCTACGTGCTGGCAGCAGGGCTTCTGGGGGAGGAGGGGCTGCAGTGGTCCCTGGTAAGAGGGCACAACACACACGGGCCATGGTAAGACGAGGCAAGACGGCCAAGGGGTCAAATCTCAACTAGGACACTGGGCTTCTGTTTCCTTGTCTGAGCGTCTGGGACAACACCGCCCACTCACAGGGCAGGCTCCTTAAATGAAGGCAGAACATCCATGGGCCCTCGCACAGCTCCAGCTCTGGCCAAGCAACAGCAAGATGGAGGCCCTGCGGTCACGGGAAGCCTGCCTGGGTGGTCCTGCCAGGGCACCAGTCACACATGGACAGACGGCAGTGATGTGAGGTGACAGGTGACAGAGGGCAAGTACGCAGCCGCAGCAGCAAGGGATGCTCCTGCCCCAGCTCACCTTCTGGGCCCCCGAGAAAGCGTGGTAGAAGCAGGACACGTAAGTCATGATGGCCTTCTCATCTGGCCTCAGAGTGCCCACAATATCTGCGCAGGGAGAGAGAGAGAGAAAGAGAGAGAGAGGACAGAGTGAAAGATGCAGGGAGGGCGGCCGGCCGGCCTGAGGCTCATGCAGGAGGAATAGCGCTTGCTCTGGACTGGAAGCCAGCCCCAGCTGGGCCTGGGTAGCGCAGCCTGCCGAGGTGTGCCAGGGAGAGGAAGGCCCCTAAAAAGGAAGCTTCGTTCTGAGTCTGAGGACTCAAACACTGAATTTCTTTATGAGAACCTAGATGGGATCATTGATGTATAACTTCTGACCACCTTTAATGGTCTAGCCCTCAGAGTAAAACACAATCTCTTATCCCAAACTACAAGGATCCTCCAGGCCTGGCTTCTGTCATCTGGTTTCTCACCTCTCCTCTATTCCTCTCTATCCTGTCTTTGAATAAGCCAATGCTTCCTGCCTCAGGGCCTTTGCACAGCTTCACCCTCTACCTGGAATGCTTCTGTCACAATGTTCACTTGTAGCTTCTTATCATCGGAAGAATCTGCATGTCACCCCTTCCTGCTCAAATGGCCCAGGTAGAAGTCATCTCTACCCCTCTCCTGTCCCATATTCTCTGCTGTGCTTCTCACCACCTGGAACAGTTCTCCACTGGTGTGTGTTGCCTGTCTCACCCTTACAGCAGCGAACTTGTCTGATTCACAACCATCCTCCCTGCCTGCACTAGACCCTGGCACTGACTAGGAGGAGCTCAATGGGCTTTGTAAGCAAGAACTGAGTGGGTAGCGATGCCCGGGAGTTGCGGGGTGGCTTCCAGTCACCAGAGAGAGACCACTGCCGTCTGCAAGAAAAATGAGGTGAGCGTGGGAGGCGAGAGCAGCAGCGGCATTGGGCAGTGGCGGCGAGGAGGGCCTGCCTGGCCCTGCCCGGTACCTTCTGCGCTCCCGAAAAGGCATGGTAGAAGCTGGACACATAGGTCATTATGGCCTTCTCGTCGGGCCGGGCTGTGTTCACGATGTCTGCAAGCGAACAACAAGGTTAAACCGCCCGAGCAGTTTACCAGGGTGGGGGTGTTGCTTACCAGGACTCACAGGCTCCCAAGGCCACAGCAGTCCTTTGAGAAGGACCCTCAGAGCATAGTCAGTGACACCTGGTGACCCGGGTGGGCGCAGCCACACCCTCAGCACCAACCCCACCCCCCTGGTTGTGGGAAAAGCCAAGGCTGTGGGAACTGGATTAAAATGAAGTTACTTCCTTTGAGAATGACCTCAAGGGGCTGCAGGACAGTCAACCCCAATGGCCACCACAGGCCAGAGACATGGGTCTTGGCTGGGGGGTGATGCTGGCTGGGAAATGGAACAAAGCCGGAAAAGGAAAAAACAAAACATTCCACTCTGGAAGGCTTCAGAGTCCACGCCTGCCGCAGGCAGCGAGGGGAGAGGCTGGGGTGGCTCACAGGAAGCCTGGAGCCAGTGCTCTTTGGCCGTTTCACCCCTGCCCTGAGCCCTGGACCAAGATGAAGCCCCGAGAGGGTTGATCCTTCAAGTAATCCCCTCCCAACCCTCGAGTACATCTGGCCAGCTCAGGCTCAGGCTCCCTCTGCTCCATCCAGCTCCCAGGATGACAACTGTCCCTGTCCACCTGGACCCATTCAGCCCTCCTTGCTGGCTCTACCAGCTCCCCAAGGATGCCCCTAATCTCTGAGGAACCCATGCGCCCCCATTCAAAGCCAAGCCTGGACAGATGAGGCCTGCAGGTAAGACAGAAGAAGATGTACCTACCTTCTGCATCCAACATCTTGGGGATGTCGAGGTATTTCTCAGCCACTTCAAAGGCGTTGTTCAGATTGGTGACTGGGTCATCCTGGGAGGAGGTGGAGGGGGAAGCAGATTGGTTGGGGCCAGAGGCAGGGGCAGAAGGATACAAGGGCTGGCCCACAAGGGGGAAGCCCTGACAGACAAGGCTGCAAGAGGTCCTTTAGGAGTTCTCAGCCACGAGTGCTATGCAGGTAGGAGGAGGGCACACCTATAAGGGCAGTTCTTACCCAAAGTGAGGCATGCTATGGACCTTTTTCTCCAGAAAGGTGCCCTTTGCATACAATTTCCAGCTACTCATGGGGCTGCCTCAGATTAATGCCCTGAAACCTGGCAGGTGTGGTCCAGACCTGAGAGAGCACTGGGGATCAAAGCCACAGCACCTACTCTCCTTCCCTAAAGTGGCCTGGCTCCTCTGTGGGCTCGGCACTGCTATGTGGGTAAACAAAGTCTACTGCACCCTGCTCGCCTCCACGTCCCCGAACAGCTTCCAGCTGGAGCCTCGTTCACATCCTCACTGTGCCCAGAAGAGGAGAGGTGCAGGCTTGCGCCTCTCAGGTGCCTGCCTCTGACGAAGCTGGCACCTCCTCCAGGGGCCCTTTCCTGCCATGCCAGCTCAGGGGGCACCATTCTCCTTCGCAGCCCTCCCACCCCAGTGGCTTGGGCACATGCTGAGTGGTGTGGCTCACTGCTTTGGACACAATGCCCTTCTCGTGTGGCTGAGAGCTCTGAGAGGGTGGGGCCTGGCTCTTCCATGCTTTCTGCAGGAAAACTAGAGCAGGACTGCACAGGAAACGCTGGCTGGCGGCTGATGGTTTGGAACTCCCTACTTTCCTCCCCCTTGGGCAGAGAAGGAATGTTTCTACAATCCACAAAGTCAAGCAAGGGGAATTAAAGGCATGTAGGCCTGGCCCTAAATAGCTCTAGCTGGTTGCAATGCCCATGGAGGGAGATGGAACAGTCCCCAAGAAACTAAGGGAGGCAAGAGTCAGCCAGCAACTCAGGGACTCGGGGGAACGGGCACAAGGCTTTCCCAGCTTGCCCAGCCAAGCACAGAATCCAGCAGTGGAGACTGGCAATGGGGCCCTTGGGATGGCGACCCACAGGGGAGCTGGAGACGCATACCTTTCTCAGTTTGTCATACTCAATCAGCTCTGGTCTGTGCCGGTGGATGAGGGCATTGAAGGCAAGACCGTCCTTCCAGCTGGGGATGAAAGGCAAATGTTAAAAGGAGGGCACTCTTATCACAGCGGGAGTGCTGAATGGCACTGGGTACCCACGGCAGGGATAAGGTATGGCAGGGTGGCCGTGAGCATCACCTCAGGAGCCAGACAGTCTGGGGTCAAATCCGGGGTCTCCTATTAACACCATGACCTTGGGCAAGTCACATAATATTCTGCTACATGGGGCTGGGGATTTAGCTCAGCGGCACAGCGCCTGCCTGGCAAGCACAAGGTCGTGAGTTCAATTCCTGGTACCGGAAGAAAAACAAAAACAAAAACAAACAAACAAAAACAAAAACAAACAAAAACAAAAACAAACGAACAAAAAATTCTGCTACTTCAGTTTCCACGCCTGTTCAATAGGGATAATAATGGTAGCTTTTCTCACAGGGCTTTTGTGAGAATTCAATGGGTAACTGCTTAGACCTGTGTGTGACACATAATGAGTGCTGTGTGACTGGTTGCTGGCTACTGAGATGGTCGGACCTGCCCACACTGTACATGCGAGGTCCCGCTGGACAGGGCAGGCCTGCCGGAGGAGAAGGGCCACTGCAGGAGGCCAGTGCCCGTACTATGTGGCCCGTGCACCTTGGCCAACCTCACCCACAGTGGGTCAGTTTGTGGGCTGTGGTCTGGATGTGGCATGGCACGAGGGTCTCTGGAAGGAAGTAATCCTCTATAGGGTCACAAGCTAGACTTGTCATATGCCCCTGGAAATCCTCCCGAGGCTGGTTCTTTCTGGGTTCAAATGCAACAGTACCTGCTCAGAATAGCCGGCCCAGGTACTTTCTATCACCTGACTCTGTCTTGCCACCTCTTATAGCACTTCTCACTATCTGAAATCACATGGCTGGACCCACTGTGAACTGCGGGTCCCTCTGCTGTAGGGTACATTTCCAGAGGCAGGGCCTGAGCTTTAGGAGTGCTGTGTCTCCGCTCACAGAAGTGGCAGACAGTCCACAGATATTTACTGACTGAACAAATCAACACATGAGTGAGGAAAAAAAACCACAAATGAGTGAGAAGCTCAGCCAGCTGGAGGCTGGAAAAGGAAGGGCTACAAAGGGAGGAGTGGTCAAGGAAGGGGCTGTGTGCTGTTCAGGTGGACCATGCATGGAAAGGCCCTCACATCCAGCACCGGGCTCTGGAGAGCCCAGGGACAGAGCAGCACCATGTGGATCCCACGAGGCCCTCTGTGTGCCTGTCCCAGGGCGCAGAGGGTGAAGTTATATGCCAAGAGGGATCCGATCAGGGCCTTCCCAGAGCCTGCGCTCCTAACCAGCAGGAAGCCCAGCTCCTGCCACCCTACCCTCTTGGCCACATGTGACACTGGCCCTGCCCTCAGTTACTGCCTCAGTTCCCTCTCACCCGCACCACAGCAGGCTCATGGCTGGGCTATCTCACTCATCTTCGTGGACAACACATTTCCTCATCTCTAAGTTCAACACAATAGCAAGCTAAGGACTGGTCCCGCTTGTAAAATCAAAATAAAGGAAGAACTCAGTTGAGTATCTGAGAGCCACCTTGCTCAGAGAGAAAGAAGCTTCTATAAGGCCCTGGGGAGTGGCAGCTTTACTGCCTTCAGGTAGTGACTATCTCCTCTTTCCAACAGGCCCGTGGGTGCAGGGCCAGGGACACACTGAGGGCCGGCATCTCAGTGGCAAATGGGAGGAAACACCTGAACTCCTGGAGTGAAGTAAGAGGATGAAAGGCAGGGACGCCCTGGTCAGGCTCTTACCTGATGTGGAAATTCTGCACGTTGACATTCTTATATGGGGCAGTCTTTCTCTGGCACCAGAGAAGGAGCCCTTCCTTGGCAGAAGTTTCTGCAAAACACACAGGGACAATAATACTGGCTCAAGAATAAACCCTGAGGACTCAGCCCAAGCTGGATAGGACTTTTGGCCTCAGGCCTGGGAGCAAACAAAACTCAAGAGGAGACCATCAGACATCACAACCGCAGTACGGACAGCTGCCCGTTTCAGAAATGGACAGCCTCATCCCAGCTGACAGTAAGCACAGCCCAGCCTAACGCTCCCAGCCCCAAGAAGTCAGCTGCTCAGGGCTGCACAAGAAAGTAGCTGACCAGAACCTGAGCTTGTGCCGTGTTCCTGACCCACCAGAGCACATTGTCAAACAAACCCTGAACGGCCACCTTGCCCTCTTCTGCTCCTTAGGACAAGAGTCCTACAGGAGTGGAGAACAAGTCTGTCCTGGTCACCACTACAACCTGATATTTAAGAGCCCCCTGCACATGCTGGGTGGGTGTTTTTTCTCCTCTGCAGTGCACAGGCGGTTGGAGAGAAGTGAAACCTGTCCCTTGATGGCCTGAGCTGTCCTAGGATGGACCTGACCAGGTCCCCTAAGGCAAAGGTCCAAAGGAGCTGGGGGTGTCAAGCCAGAGAACCAGTCCAGACCCAGCTCCGTCACTAGTTTGCTCTGTGACCCGGGCTGCTGGCTATGAATTGTGGCCAGTCACCCTTTCTGCTTCACGTAGTAGTAGGGGGCCCCTGAGCTGGAGGCCCTGAGAACACCAGCATTCTGGGTGCACCCACAGTGGAGAGGCAGGAAAGGTGGAGGAAGGGTGGGCAGCTGGAGAGGACCTCTGTCACCTGCACCCAGTGACCACACACTTCTGTGCGGGGCAGTCCATGAGAGTCACCCCAAGGAAACAGGGAAGATGCTTGAAGCATAAAAGCAACACTTCCGGAATTCTAACCTAACCCGCTCTAACTCAGAAAGCAAAAAGGTGGTTTTCAGCACCACTACCTCCCCCTCTTTCTCTGCCTTTTGGAGATGGATTCTCTATGTAGCCCAGGCTGGCCTGGAATTCGTAATCCTCCTGCCTCAGCCTCCCAAGAGCTAGGATTGTAGGTATGTGCCACAATTCCCTGGTTCTCTATGGTCTCTTACCTTCCACAGAGATGTCCTGGATGGCAAACCTCAGGATAATGGTCCAGATCATTCCCAGGGTCATCTTTGCGTTGCCGTCCACTATCTCTGCACGCGGGGAAGGGGGCAAAGGGAGTGAAGTTTGTTAAAGCAGAATGAGGCCCCTCACCTTGCCTTGAAGGCAGCTTTCTGGGCCCATGTGGAGACCAGCCTGGTATCGCAGGACAGGACCACAGGGCTGCCACCTCCACCCCGGAGAAAAAGCAACCCCATACCAGCTATTACAAACCTGCTACCACCAGCACCACACCACAGGTCTCTGCATGCATGTTTCCTGGGCTACAGGGGCCTCTTTCCCCCGGCCAGCTCGCTGTAGCGATGCAGTTCACAAGACCGCTCCTTGGGGTCCTGTGCCCGGTGTGTGGCACTCGCTGTTCTGGCTAACTCTGTCTTTAGTCAAGCAGTGCCTGCCTCAGGGCTAAGGCTTTTAGTCTCCAGTCAGTGCTGCACCACTGTCTGCGGCAAACCCATCACCTCCTCCCAACTGCACTGAAGTCTTCCCAGAGCCCAACCTGGCTGCCTCCTGTGGACTCTTACAGCCCACTCCTATACCGCAGCCACATGTGCTGGGTTTGCATCAAGTTCCTGCTGAAAGCTCCACTGCAGCTGCAATGACACCATGTTCCCGGGGGCAGGCCACCCAGCCCCAGCCTGTTGTCCCTTCCTAGTACACTTCACCTGTAGCCCTATTATCAAGCCAGGTTTTTTCTTTCTTTTTTTTGGTACTAGGAATCAAACTTAGGACCTTGTGCTTGCCAGGTAGGCGCTTGTGCCACTGAGCTATCTCCCCAGCCCTAGCCAGGATCTCTCGTGTGTGTGTGTGTGTGTCTGCGTTGGGGACTTCCCATTGAGCTACACCCCCAGCCAGCCCATTTTCAATTTTTTGAGTCAAGGTCTCACTAAGCTTCCCAAGCTGGACTTGAACTTACCATCTTGTCTCACCTGCCCTGAGTGCTAGGATTATAGGCATACAGCACCTTCAAACTAGGTGCTTTCTTACTTGGAGGACTTCACACCTCTGTCCACCCACAAAAGGCACCCCAGCCCTTTCCTTCAAATGGCTGAGTCTTCTCCCATACACCTCTGCTGTTATGTCAAGAATCACTTCCCTCACTGCCATCTAAGGAGCTCTCGTCCCACCCAACTCCTTCGCTTTCTGGTGTCCAAGTCTCAGCACAGCAAAGAGGGGTTAGGGCAAAATGGTTTCAGAAGAACGAAGAGCGAGAGAGAATGGCCAGATGGAGCGGATCCACTGCCACAGCCCGCTAGGAAAGGCTGGGTGGAGAGTGCCAGAGTGCCTGATCCTCAGGACTAGAAAACTTGAGGATGAGTAGGTTTGGAAGGGGTAGAGTGGCCATCCAGGGAAAGGGATCCCCCTTCCCAGGGACAAGCCGGGAGGGAAAGGGGTTCTGTCTGCCACAGTGCGGGAGTTGCCAGGCCAAGCCAGGACTCTAAAGCTGAGGGCAGCTTTTGGCTTTCCTGTTACAGGATGAGGAAATACACTCAGTCTGCTGGCCACAGGGCGGAGAGGGACCCACCAGGCAGAGCACCTGCCCCTTCCCAGGCTGGGGTGAAAGCAGCTCTCCCCTCAGGAAAGCTATGTGCACCAAGGGTGGCCTCCAGGGTGATAGCCAAGCACACATCCGTGCTATCGGTGCAGGCTGCCCGTGGGCGCTCAGCCTGTGAGTGGGGGAAGGTGTCTCTTGTGACATGCCACCAGCAGCTTCTCTGACCTGTAGCTGTGCCCCCGACTGCCATACCCTCTCGTAGCTCGCATGAGGAAGTCATGCTCCTGAAACTATGAGGCTGTGTGGAGGGGCAGGGAGACAGAGAAGGCCCAACAGCTGGGGTTCTCAGGTGTTCTAAGTGCAGAATGTCTCTATTGGGCGGCCTCCCAGCTTTGTCCCAGGACCTAATGGTCATAGGGATCGGGAGTGAACCAATTTGGGCATGAAGGGGAAGCATTTTCAGACGAACAGTTTTTCTCCAAATAAAACTGAGGCCTGCCACTGTCTCTCCCTAACCCCTCCTGTATTTACAGACCAGCGTTTGAGCAAAACAAATGCAGCTGTGAGAAGCAGAAGGCTGGCGAGGGGCCCAGAGCAAAGATCCATGCAAGGACAGAAAATCTCTGGGCCTGATTGAATTTTTGGGTTTTGATTTTTTTTAAACAAACACACCAATCACCTCTACTGTGGCATGCAAGGCTTGGCATTCCTCCTCGGAGAGGTCCGGGGCTGGGGCAAGGCCCTGGAACTCAGTGCACACATTTTGGCCTGGAGTCCTGGCCAGACTCTCCGCGCCCTGTCATTAACAGCAATTAGTTTTCTTTGTTTTTCTAAAAGCTGGGACAACATAGATGTCAGGGCAAGAAACCCTGCTCTGACTAATGAGTAGAACTGTGAGCCCTGGCTGCTGCTGAGCTTCTGGGCCCTATCAGGCCACACCTCATCTCCGAAAGCACCTCTGCCCCCAACCCAGGGCCCTGAGGAGGGTGGTCTTGGGCATCTACTCTAGACAAAGAGGGTCCTGGTGTGGCCTGGGGCCAAAGTCTCCCAGCCTGTGCGCCCAGGACAAAGTGTGGGAACCAGCCCTTGCACGGCCCAGTACCGTCTGAGGCCCCCAGTCCCCATCTCCCCTCTACACTCCCTCCTTCCCACACACACCAGGCAGGATTGATGGCAGCGGTGCTCCTGGTACAGAGGCCAGGTGACATGTCTGTTACTGTCTGCCAGGTCCAGGGCAAGGAGGATGAGTGTCCAGGATCCAAGTCAGAGCCACTCCAGCCCCTCAGGAGCTGCACCCAGATTCAGACTGCACCCACTGGGAGTTTTCTGCAGGGTGCTGGTGGTGATGTGGGGGTTGGGAACCTAGTGTCCTCTCGAGGGCAGTCATTGTAGACACTGCTGAGTCCGTTTTGTTATAGGTGCAGGCTGCCTGTGGCCATGGTACTGTGTCACTATGAAACTTCACATGGTCAGAATGCGGACGTTGTGCCTCTGAGAGTGAAGTCAGGAACTCAGCTGGACCTTGGCTGCCCCACCTCGAGCTTACCTTCTGCCCCAATGGAGACCAGCTTGACTCCTTTGCTGGCGATGAAGTCCAGGGCTTTGTTCACATTGTTGATTTTGTGCACTCTCATCTTCCCCCGCTCTGGCTTAGGTAACCTCTCCCCTGAGAGAAGCACGGAGAAAGCGAAGGGAGACAAAGCCTTAGCATTCCACTGCTCTCCAAACCCAGGCCCCCACCAACCCACGAGCCACACGCACAGGCTGACACTCAGACACAGGCTACTGCCATGGCAGGGACTGCAGTCTCCTCTCCAGCAGTGACGGGGCAGCTGGGTGGGCAGTGTCTCCCAGACCTGCAGGGACAGGGCATCTGGCCCAAGTGTGAGCCTCACCTGAAATGACTTCCAGGAGAAGCATGAGCTTGAGCCCGTCTCTGAAGTCCTCGTCGATGTTCTCTATCTGTGTGCCTGCCTTGCGCAGGTGGGAATTGCACCAGGCTGTGAAGGTCTGGGGAACAGAACACAGAGCGGCACAGAGGGTCAGCCAGCTGTTGGGGCTCTCTACTCAAAGTGCAGACCATGGCCCCGAACCCGGAAGGACGGTGGCCACCGTAACATAGTGGGTTGTGGTAGACCTTGGTGCCACCATCTATCTGCACTGTTTCTGACCTTTACAATGACCCAGACAGACAGGTACAAGGACACTGAGTCCCCGGGTGGTGAACAAACTGACCACACAATCACACGGGTGGTAGGTGGCAGGGCTCAGACTTGAATCCAACTACACCAAGCCTGGCAACAAGTGCTCTCTCCACAGGGCCCAGCAGCTGCGGGGGAACCTGCACTTGAACGAGGCATTAGTACCACCGCCCACCTGCTGACGGAGCAGCAGGTCCTGCAGGCTTCAAACAGCAGCTAAGGCCCTGCCCTCAAGAACCCTCCGTTCTCATTCCCAGACAGACCGCATGTCCCAGCCAGGCTCTAGCTCAAGCTGTGACCTTCCCATTCATCACTAGGCGTATATTACATGGGACAGGAAAGCAGCTGGGAAAGAAAAGCCTCCTATAAATTCAGGGTTTTCTTGTCTTTCTTTGAGCTTAGGGTGGCCCTGCAGCAGCCTCCCCTGAAAGGCCAAGAATGCAGAGCCTAAACCCAGGTACATCCCCGTGCAGCTGGGTTTCCTGCAGGCCACAATGCCCTGGCCTCTCTGAAGAATATTCCACGTTTCATCCTTCCAAATCTTAAAGCCTGACTCATTCTGGAGTGGGCAGGAAGGCAGGTGGAGGAAGTAAGGAAAGGCAGCTATATCTGAGCAAAACATTTTGAAGAATCAGCTGGAATATGAAAAGGCATATTCTGGTAGACAGGGCCCTAAAAAGAAGCAGAACACTCAGGCACAGGGCCACTCAGGCCCTGCGAGCCGGGGCATGTTATCAAACATCACCGCCACACAAGTGGCTCGCATCAGTTAACGCCAACATGCCCAGACACCTTCTGGGCCCAACCAGCCCTCCCACAGCAGGGTCTGGGAAAAACCCAAAGCTGATTCCCCCAGGAGTCTCTAGACCCCCGTGCTCTGTCTGCCCCCTCAATCTGCCGGGGCCAGAGCAGAAGTGGGCAGAGTGCCAGGAACTGTGAGAACACATTCCACACCCAGGGTGTAGGCAAAGGCCACATGGGGGGCACCCTAGGGGCCTCTGGCCAAGCACCATGTTTTGACAACTGCCATCAGGCCTGCTCCTTCCGAGACTCAACAGGAGGCTTCTCCCAGACAAAGACATGCTAATGAGCAGGCCACCCCACAGTGCAGACCCAGCACCCAGCATGCACCAGCTGGAGCTTTCCTTCCCAACCTGAATGGCGCCAAATGGAGGGGGCCAGGCCACTCTGCCCAGCCTCTCAAAAAGGTGGAGACAAAGGCCGTTCCTGGTTGCACAAATCACCCCCCACCCCCCAGAGAAGCCTCTGCCCCACTTCTGCCTTGCACCACCACCACCCCTCCCTCAGAATGCAGCCCGTGGCGCAGCCCCTCCGGGACACCACTCCACGGGTGTGCCCCAACCCAGTTCCACCTCAGGAGGCCCTCCTCTGTGCAGACCGCTTCCCAGCACCCCTCTCTGGTCTCTAACAGCTATGGTTCCTCTTCTGTCTCCCCTTAGTTTTGAGCCCCCTGAGAGGACCGGCTGCAATGCAGGTTCTCACTAACAAGTGCATTCACTCAAGTGCCCTACGTCGTTTCCCTTGTTGCCCTCATACAACTCTGAATTCAGACAAACCAGGGCCAGAACGCTGGTTCCAACACTCACACAAGCAAGCTATCCAACCTTCCTCAAACCTGTTTCCTCTTCTGTAACTTGGCAATGAAGACTCTACCTGGAGCACGGTCAGCGCCACAGCTCCAGGGGATGAAGCCTAGACAGCACACAGCACCTGTGTTTTTTTGTTTGTTTGTTTTGAGACAGGGTCTCACTATGTAATTTGGGCTGGCCTCGAACCCATGGGGATCCTCCTGCCTCTGCCTCTCAAGTGCTGGGATTACAGGTGTGCACCACCACACCCAGCACAGCAGGTCTTAATAAGTGGCAGCCCTGAACCTCACAGGGTCCCCCCTTCTCCACCCCCATTTTGGTCTCAGAAATCCTGCCACCCCTTACACAGAGCATTTCCTCTGTCTCCTACCTCCCTTCATCGCCACACACCCTTGGCTGTCTGGCAGGGAGCATTCTCTAGTCACTTTTTGGATGTATGTGCACATGAGCTCTCTCCTACCATGTGTAAACTCCAAGGGGATAGGAGGTGCATCTCACACGTCTTTATAATGCCCAGGTATGGGGCAGGTACAAGCTCAGAGGCCCTGTAACACAGAGGAAAGCAGCAGATGGGGCAGGGCAGAAAGTGGCCAGGGATGTCAGGTCTTTGCTCTTGCTTGCGCTTAGAAGATACCATTGGACAACAAAGTGGCCAAGTCACAACCCACATCCTGAGGATGCAAAAGGGCAGTTCCTGGAGGGGGAGTTTCCCCGGCACTGCAGTGCTACAGGGAGATAGGCTGAGGTACCTGGTCTGCAGAAAGGCCTGGGGACCCCTCTCCACCTCCCCTCCTGGCACGGGTTGATCTCACACACTGTGGAAGGGGTACAGACCTGGGTAAATGCCAGCTACTCTATTTATTTGCTCTGTGTCCAACCAAGTGATTTTACCTACTAAAGTCTGTTTCCTTCCCTAGAAAATAGATTTATCAGAATCTACCTCCTGCAGTTGTTCTAAAGATAAAAAGTGAAGGAAAAGGCATTTAAAGCATCTGTCATAGTCCCTGGCCCACAGTCGTACCAGATGAATCACATACATCCTGACTGACTGGCTTCTTCCTACTCGGTCCCCGAGAAGGGTAGATCCCGTCTCCACTACAAAGACCTTCAACTGGCTCCTGCTGGGAAGTGGGACTGCAGCAGACCCACTGCAGATGGTTCCCGCTCCAGCCTATGGAGGTGCTGACCAATGCTCACTCACTCACATCCAGACCATCTGTCCTCACAGAGGTGGCGGCCCTACCTGACCGCCAAACACACATCCCACCACTGCTCAGCCTCTCTGTGTAGTAAACAAGAGCCGTAGCTTGGAGCTCACACAGACCCGCATTCAAGTCTTCCTCTGAGGCAACCTGCCACAACCTTGGGCAAGCGATAAGCTTCCTTTCCGTGCTGATGAATGAGGACTATAATCTCTCCTAAGATGAGGATTAAACAAATGATGCCAGTGAATCACTCAGCACCGTGCCTGGCACAGATTAAGTAGTGTTATACGTATGTCAAAGAAAGGTCTATTTTTAAATAAATGGTGGCTGTGGTGTGTGTATCTGTCTTCCTGACTAGAAGTACGCAGAGCCTCCTTGGGACACAGAGCAGGCGCTCGGGGAGAACACCCATGTGCGGGGCGGTGAGGGACTCCCTCCGATTCTGAATCTAATCTGACGCAAGTCCAGGGGCTCCCAGACAGGCCTCCCGCCCTCACTCCATGCCTTGCTTGGCCATGTTTCCCTCTAGAAGGAGGCTCTGGAGGCTACCTCGGGGAACAAGCAACTGGAGACGTCATTTCTCTATGCAAGGAGACTGGTGAGGAGTTCAAATTAAAAATTCCTGGTTTTTTCTACGTGGTTACAAAAATAATACTCTGCTTAGACCATTCCTCTTCCTCTCTAGTTTAGACTAAGATGTGTCGGGTGGATCATACAGAGGGGCGGTTCCTATAGATGGAGGCCTCATGTGCGCACCACAAGCCCCTTCACTGTGTAAAGCTATGACACTACTGCTGACGGGTCCCACCTGCTCTGCAGCACCCTGGCCCATGTGGGGTCACACATGTTCACACCCTTGACAGGCACTGCTCAGGGTCCACCAGGATGTGCCGTGCCGAGTACCTCAGTGACCACAGGCAGACAGAAGCTGTGCGCATGTGGCTGAGGGGAGAGAGGATGAGTGAGTCCAACACAGGAAGAGACACCCTAAGAAAAGTGGCAATAACAACCACAGTGGACACCCCACAGAGCCAGCTCTGTGTCAGGCACTGCTCTAGGCATTTTGCCACATTCTAACTGCTCTCACACTCCCACCATCTGATGAGGCAGGTGCTGTTACTGCTCCCATTTTACAGATGAAGACATTGAGGGCCTGGGAGGAAAAGGGACTTACCCACATTAGTCACTCCCAGAAAGCTACAGAGCTGGATTTAAAGCCAGGAACTGTGGCTTCAGAGGGCCCCCTTAGGCATCAGCTATATTTGTGTCCACTGACTTAAAGCAGAAGCTGAGCATTCAGCACATTTGGGGAGCCCCTGCTTGAGTGGAAGTTTCCTGGAAAAAGTTAATTCTCACACACTGATCTGAATGACAGAGAATTACACAAGAATAAGGGAGACCGATATAACAGGAACTGCATGCGCAAAGGCCCTGCAGTAGAAGTACTCCAAGAAAGGAAAGAAGGGAGTGAAGCAGGGAGCCTCGCAGGGGCTTTTCACAGGTCACTCTGGCTGCTGCTGTATGGGGAAGGAGCCTAAGAGAAACTTTTTCCTCCTGGCAGGAGGAGGATCACCAAGAAGCCACATCACGGATGTTTGTTGTGATGGACAGCCACGCATTCAGGGTCTCAACTTTATCTGGGAAGAACCAGAGCTCTAGGGGAGGGAAAGAGAAAAGGTATCAAGTTTTTTTGGGCTTTACTGTCATTTCCCAGGGGTGCCACTGCCTCTGCGCAGCTGGCCCACAGCAGTGGCTAGGACCTCATATCCCATCTATGAGGCACTTAAGCACCCGCCTGACAGATGCTGACCTGGAGGGCCTATTATGCACTGGACAAACACACACAGAATGTACATTCTAAACACTACAGAAAATAATGCAATAACTGCTAACTACTGCTTCTTACAATTTACAGATTAGGAGCTCCTGCAAATTTCCAACCCTATGATCATATATGATACTGTCAGCTTGGCCGGACAGATGAGGAAACTGAGGCAGGACAGGCTAAGCTACTTGCTCACAGTCACACTATAAACACACACACTAGTGGACACTTACTCCACGTCAGAGTGGGAGGCAAGCTAGGTGGCCTGGCGAGGCAGACCCAGCAGAACCTAGCTAGGAAGCAGGTTCTGGGCATTTTGCCACATTCTAACTGCTCTCACGCTCCCACCATCTGATGACACAGATGCTGTTACTGCTCCCATTTTACAGATGAAGAAATTGAGGGCCTGGGAGGAACAGGGACTCACCCACATTAGTCACTCCTAGAAAGCTATAGTGTCCATTCCCAGTGCAATACATTGGACAGATAAAGCAGTGCTGAGGCAGCCCAAATGCTCCCCGTCTGGCTTGGCCATGTCATGAAGGGAGCCTGCACCTAGCCCTCAACCTATCTAGGGAGGAAGGAAGGATGTGGATTGGTCTGTCTTTAGAACACGCGTGGAAAACCACAGAAATGAGCCCGCCGAGCCTGCCCTGCAGCTGGCAGCCCTGGAAACCTCTGGTTGCCAAAATAGCTCAGGGTGTGAGCAGAGAGAAAGGGCTGGGGGTGGAGGGGGAGAAACAGATGAATTTGTTGGTTTTTGAGATCCTGTGTCACCACTCCACGTTCCAACACCCTGCAAGCATTGGCGGAGAAGGGTGGGAGCGTTTCTGCTTTGTCACTGTGTTGCCAGGGGAGCCAAGGGGGCCTGGCATCACTGGTCATAAAGTCCTTCCTGTGTCACAGAGACCCCTCCCAGCCTCCAGGATATGGGGCGGCTGGGTGAATGAATGATGGATATTGTTCAGGAGGTGACCTAAGCAGCCAGGAATGTGGCAGCAGTGGGCTTTAATGAGGCATTCATCAATGACACCCTCCCCCAATCCAAAGAGGTGAAACCCTCTCTACTCTGGGCCACACAGGACAGTCAAGTAGCGCTCCAGCGGCCGGACTGATGGTGAGCACAGGAAAAGAACGGCTCCTGGGGGGACATGCACCACCCGTCTAGAAAAACGCGCCTTCCTTTTTCTTCCTAACTTCCTGTTACATATTCTTAATAGAAAAGAGAGTGGCGTGGAGGGAGATGTCTGTAGGAAGCTGCAACTCTTTTAAGGCCAGAATAAGGGGCGCCCATTACCATGAGTCTGGAGTTAGAAACAGGCTCCACCCAGATCCAAGTTCCAGTGGGCAAGCACATGAGTTCCGACTAGCACAGGGAAGGAAGACGGGACCAGGGCCAGTGGCTTCCCTTTTCCTACCCGCCCGGCAGACGGTCACATGTGGATTCCACTGACTCTGCACTTGACAAAATTTTAGGAAAAACTATTCCATGGCTCATGCCGCATGGCCCCTACTTTCCACTGTGTATAACACCCACCCGCTTAGCAGGATGCCACAGCCTAAGGACCAGCCTGCATATATTTTCCCCAGGCCCAGGGCTGAATGCAAGTGGCTATAGCCAGCTCCCTCAGGGAGCACAGAGGTCACACACGGCTCCCCAGGGTTCTGGGAGTTTTCAATTCTCATCTCTGAAATACCGTGTTGGGTTTGTTGCTCCGCTGGGGCATCGACTGCTTTGAGGGGAAGGGCGCCGTCCCACCTCCTGAACTCCCACCTTGCCTGCTGTGGCCTCTGACGCTGCCCATGGCTCCTGCACGCACAGGTCTTCAGGAAGGGTGTCCAGGGCTTGGATACAGGGGAGGTAGAGCTATTTATTCCTAAGTAGGCATCCACCTTCTTATCACCCATCTGCCAGGTCTCAGGCAAGGCCAGGCCCCAGTGGGACATCTTTTCGGTTCCTGAAAGCAGAGACTGCTCCTGGGGCCTTGCACTTCACCACCAACTATAAAGGCGCTTTCAGGGGCCAACGGCTCAGCCTGCTGGAATCTAGGTTACCAGGCGCCCAGGCAAAGAGGTGACTGCCCTGGTCAGGAACCCATGAGGCCTCTGGAACAGTTTGTGAGATTGCAACGTAAGCATTTTTTTTTTTTTAAAGATCTGTTGTCTTCAGCAGATTCCAGAGGAGATGAAATCGGGGACCACATTGAGAGGAGAGAGAATGAACTGGTCCTGACGACACAGCCACAGATTAGATGGGTGGAGCAACGGGGACACAGACAGCCCCTCCAGCACACCTCCTGGGGCTGCCACTGTTGGAGCAGGAGGACACGGGGGCTGCTTACCAGTACCCAACCCTGGTGGGCCCGGGGCAGAACAGGCGTGCTGTGTTTTTCTGCCCATGACGACACAGCCTAATTTGAAAGCAATTACAGTGAAATATGGAATGCTTCTTATGTCCTGGTCTGAAGTTGCCTTATTCGGAGTTTTCTCAGCCTTCAAGAAAAAGCCCTGACTCCCGAGCTGGAGGAGAGGTATAAATACCGCGGAGTGCAGTCGTGAGCATTCCAAAGGCCCTGCGTGTACATCCCAACTTCAGCTCTGTACCCTTGCGTCCCTCCCCATAGCCAGAGTTCCCACTTTGGTCAATCCCCTGCAAGGTGCTAGAAAACACGCTGCCACAGTGGATTGGTTTTAGAGCTCAGCCCCTTCCTCTTGAGATACACAGGTCTAAGGATTTCTCCTAGTTCCTTACAGGGCTGCTTATATATCGCATCACTCAAGACTCCCCTCGGCAGTTATCCTCCAGGGGCCTGCTCTGACTTTGTCATCTCCACTGAGCCATCGCTTTGCTCTGTTATTTTATCCACTGCACTGATGATGAGAAATTACGTTAGTTGTTCATAAGCAGTCTCCCCTTGAAAGAACATCAGCTCCCTGGAGGGGTGCTCTATTCGCTGCAGGACCCTACTGGTTGGAACAGTGCCTTGCACATAGTAGGAGTTCAATAAATCCTACAATAAATGGAAGAGGGCTGAAACTTTTCCCACCCAGCTCTTTAGGACTTCATGGTTTTTAATCCCATTCTACACTGGCGAGGGTCCTGACTTCGGGACAAAACTGTTTGCTTTCAGAAGGTCACATAAATAATCCCGAACTGTAAATATCCTGTAAACAAGCCAGGGAAGAAAACGCTCTGGTTTTGCTGCTATAATGGGAGAGAGAAGCCCTGAACTTCGCTCAGGCTTCGGAGGCCATCGGGTTTGCAGAGACCCTGGTTGAAGCAGAGCTGGACCAGATGAGGGTTAGCAGCAGGTGGGCTAGAAAAAGGCCAGCCAAGGAGCTGACAGATCCCCAGACACCGATCTGCCCAGAGAGGAGGTGTGTCTCAGTGCAACAGCAAGGGCTCTCAAGTTTCAGGAGACATGGGTTCAAGTCCTAGCTTCACTCAATAAACATTTATGGCTTCAATAAACAAACCTCACCCCTCTAAGCTTCAGCTTTCTCCTTTGTAAAAGGATAGTAGACATGTTGTGAGGATTCAACAGGGTAGCATATGAAAAGCACTACACACACAGCCTGGCAGAGCATCAGTGACCAACAGATGTTCTATTCATCACCACAGTATTCCTGTTCCGGAAGGTGCCACTCCTATCAGCACTGCAGCTGAGAAAGCCAGGCCTTCTAAAGCTGGCCAAACTGCCGGCTGCACTCTGGTGGCTGGCACAAAGCAGTCACCCTCCAAAGCGCCCTTCTTTAGCCTCGTCTCCTGACTACCAAATGAATAAAAGAATAAATAAATTTTCAAAATAATAAATGCATTTTAAAAGTAAAGGAATTATAATAATGCTCTTGTTTCCAAACATCCTTCAAATCGAGTAGTTCTCAAGTCTTGCAATGTGTTAGCTGGGAGACTCCCTCCCACCACCACCTCACAAGGTAATGAATATATGTTATGTTCAGTTGTTAAGGTTTGAAGCACTTTGGTACACATCAACAGGTAACTTACACAGTGTAGACGCAGGGTTGCTGGATCACAGCTATGCCTGTACTGAGAATCAGCTTTGCTTTACTGGGATATAATTCTCGAACCATAAAATCCCATGAGTTTTAGTATATTCACAAGGTTATGCAGTGGTCACTATTATCTAACTCCAGAACATCTTCATCACCTCACAACTGTCAGCAGTCTGTCCCCCATGACCCCCCAGCACTGCCACCACTCACCTACTTTCTCTCTATGCATTTGCCCATCCTGGGAATTTTATACAAACATGTGGCATTTCAATTTAGCTTTTTTTTTAACTTAGCAAGTTTTCAAGGTTCATTCACACTGAGACATATATTAGCGCTTCAGTCCTCTTTATGTCTGAGTAACATTACATCATATGGATAGACTACTTTTTTAAAAATCCATCTTTCTTGTTTTTACCTCCTATTATGAGAAGTTTTGCATAAATGTTTGCTTTTCTTTTTTTTGGTACCAGGAATTCAACTGAGGATCTCATGCTTGCCAGGCAGGTGCTGTGCCACTGAGCTAAATCCCCAGAAAATTATGTTTTCAATTGTCTTGGATATATCGTAGGAGTGGTGCTGCTGAGTAATAGGGTAATTAATCATTAAGGAACTGCAGGATGCATCTTGAGACCACAACGTTAAGTGAAATACATCAGACACACAAGTTTATAGACGTTTCATGGTTACTCTTACTCCCCACGGTAACTGTAATCATTGTGCACTGCATACATGTACTAATAGAAAATACATAATATCTAAAAGAACTGATGAGGAATACTAGGAAGAATAGACAAAGGACAGATGAACTGCAGGACTGTCTTCCAAAGAAGATAGTTTCACATTCCTGTCAGCAACCTGAGGGTTCCAATTCTCCACATGTGCACCAAAATGTGTCAATATCTGACCTTTTAAAAATTATAGTGGGTATATATTATGAGTTTCACTTGCCTTAATGACTAGCGAAGCAAGCATCTTTCCATGTGCTTTACTGACCATCTGTTTATCTTCACTGGATAAATGTCTATTCAAACCTTTTTTTTTTTTGTCTTTTTGAGACAGGGTCTCGCTATGCAGTTCAGGCTGGCCTTGAGCTCACTTTGTAGCCCAGGCTGGCCTCAAACTCACAACGATCCTCCTGCCTCAGCCTCCCGAGTGCTGGGATTACAGGCGTGCGCAACCATGCCCAGCTTATTCAAAACTTTTGTTCACATTTTAATTGGACTATTTATTGTTCAGTTGTTAGGAGTTCTTTGTATGTTCTGGACACTAAACCCTTATCAGATACATGATCTGGAAATATTTTGTGTGAACTGTTTCATTTTAACAGCATCCTCTGAAGCAAAATGTTAATCTTGATGAAATCTAATTTTTTTCCTTTAGCTACTCATGTTTTTGCCATAGTATTTTAACAAGAAATAAGATTTACATCTGTTTTTTCTAAGAGTTTTATAGTTTTAGCTCTCACGTTTAGGTCTTTGACTTATTTAGAGTTAATTTTTCTACAGGGTGAGGGAAGAATCCAACTTCATTCTTTGCATGTGAACGTTCAGTCGTTCCAGCACTATTTGTTCAGAAGACAATTCTTTCCCTGTTGACTTTTCCTGTACCTTTGTTAAAAAATCTGTATACTGTATATGGGGCTCTGGAGCTTTTAAGAAATGCCTAAACTTGCTGGGCATAGTGGTACACACCTGTGACCCCAGCATTCTGGAGGCTGAGGCAGACTGCCATGAGTGCAAGGTCAGCCTGGACTATGTAGCGAGACCCTGTTTCAAAAAAGAAAAAGGCTAAACTTCACCATGGCCACATGAATCAGATTCCCTTGAGATGGTCCTGAACAATGACATTTTATAAAGCTCATCAGGTAACTCTCACATGAAGTCAGGGCCGAGAACCAGCACACTCATTCCAGAAATAAGGGGCTTAAGGCTCAGGCAGAACCAGAGAGGCCAACAAATTCAGGCCAACTGAATTTGCTGGGCTGGCCTGCACCCATACAGCTAAAAGAAACCCCAGAGGTGCAAGGGACAGACAGCCCAGGGCAGGAAGGTGTCCTGACTACTCCTGTCTCCTCACAGATTTCTCCTTAGTTATGCTATACAGGGAGAACCAACACTTCAACCCAAAGCTACTCATATAACAAAGAACTGGGCTGTCCCTACGGAGGAAGTGCTTGCCCTCCCCATGAAATGTCCACTTGCACAGGACTGAATTAAAGGCAGGTAGGGCCAACAGGGTGGAGAGGGGAGGCAAGCTCAGTCTCCGAACAAGCTCAGTCTCCTTTTGGTAGGAAAAGGAGATGGGTGGGACCTACCTTGATAGCTATTTTTAAAAGGGGAGACTTCCATTCCCAAAAGGCAGTTTTAAAACTGGGGCAGCGGGGCCCTGCCCTCTGCCTCCTCTGGCCCCATCTGGCATTCTGCTGTGAAACGATCGGGTACACGGGGCCCTTTACCTGGAGAACAGGGAGTTCTAACTACAAAAAACCCATTTACTTGCAAAGCTCACAGCTGAGCTCAGGTTTCCCAGTGGGGGTGGGGAGAGCTACAGATTTTCTGGTTTAAACTTTGATCCTTCAAAAAGATAGCCCAGCGAGCCAATTCTGACCTTGAGATTGTGTGGCTTGGAATCCTAACAGTTGCCCAACAGTCCCCATGTTCAGAATTTATGGTTTAGTCTGGGTAAATCGACCCCAGGACTTGCTCATCCAAACAAAAGGTGTTGGGCTTTGGAGGAGATAGAGGGGGCTCTGACGGGATTGTCCCTGAGGCTGGTGCTACTTTCTACACACCTGTGTCCTAAGCTTCCAAGTCTGTCCCTAAATCCCCACAGATGTGGGAGTGCTGCAGGCCAGGGCATATCCAGAACAGGGCAAATACTCCCCTTTGTCCCTATCTATCTCTCAATTGAGCAGCCTGCTTTCTGCTGGTACTCACTGGACCTACAAACTAGACCCTGCAGCTATAAAGGCGGAGAGTGATTTTTTAACACTGGGAAGGGCTTCTCCTTTGATAACTGAAACTCTCCCTTGATGATTCTTTAGGATGATTCTTTAGCCCTTTTCCTGTTTTCGGAGGTTCTGATTCAACAGTCTACCCAGCCAGGTCACAGCCTTCTCTCACGCTGGTGAAAGGAGAAAGGGGTGTTCGGGGGTGGGCAGTATGGCTAGGCTGGAACCCATGGCAGCACTCACAGACACACACTTGTTTTACATACACTCTTTCCCCACTGGCTTCCACTTCCAAAGCGGGTAAGATCCTTTCCAGAAGAGGGTGAGTCTGGAGTAGTGATAGATTCTAGGGCGTATATCTGCACAGTGACTTCTCATCTGTGAGTAGAAGGACATGAGCAGCAGGGGGATGGGGGCTGCCTGCCCTCTGCCAAGGCTCAGCAGTGCGGCTCTTTCCGGCTGGCACCTAGGAGGGGCTCCGTGCATAAT